GGGGGATACGGAAATAAAGAGAAACATACGAAGAAAAAAGGAGAGATTATAAGGACGATAGATGTTTGAGAGGAAAGAAAGAGCAGACCATAACAGAACTCCTACCAACCAATTACGTCTTCTATTGTAGGAAGGGAAGTCATGCGTTCTTAGTAAAAGTAAGAAATTTACAGTACTCGCAATATTAATAGAGGTCATAATGTAAGTGCCAAAGATTAGAAGTGTTATAAGAGAGCAACATAAATAGAAAAGAAGGAGGAGAGATAAGGAAGATAGACGATTGATGGGAAAGGAAGAATAACCAGAGCACCCGCCAACCACCCAGGAGAAGCCAATTAGACATGGAACATGTTAAAAAAATGCACCCACCAATTATGAAATTTCAATTCTCAGAGCCTGTACGCAGTAACGTACACAGTAAAATACTATATCACTTTGGAGCATGAAATACAGCAATAACATCATCCACCAGCTCTTCACATGTAGTAGCCTTGAATTTGAAACATTTTTTTAAAAATGTGTTATCAGTTGCATTTGCTTTTAAAAAACACATTTTGTGGACATTCAAATTCTAAATTTTGAAAAAAACAAAAAAAACAACATACTGCAGGTCCAATTTCTATGGAAAGAAACAGTCGGTTTTGTTTTTCTCTCCTGAAAAATGTTGCTTTTTGGTTAAATAAGTTAGCACATTTCAATGACTTGCCATTGCCAACAACATGGAACTTTTCTTGAGGAACAAAACTACTCACCCATGACACAACTCTTCCATTAAAGCAAGGTAAATGAGCGTCTTCATCACAAATTTCTTCCTTCACCACCCTAAGGAAAAAATAAAAGAATATTCATTATTACACACATAATATAATAATAATTTAATAATAATAATTATTAATTATAATAATAATAATTTGTTTAGATAGAGCGTATTCCAGCTCAACAGCAAGCTCTACGCGCTTTGCAATCTATTACTACCCCAGCAGACCTGATATCATTCTGAAACAATCCCAACTTCCTGGGGAAGCATACAGTGCAAGCTGCCATTTTCCAGAGGTACTAAAACATTAACATACTGACACACATACAAACAGTTTCTCACAGAGAAGCCACCATGGATAAAAATAATATCAAAATTACCCACTTTACCAAATGTGTCACGTTGTGGAATCAGGCCCTCGTCAATTTAGGGCGTGTGGAGTTATTTGTATCATCTTAAAGCTTGCCCATTAGCCCTTTTCCCCCTATGAATAAAATATTCGGCTATCTTGAACTTGAACAGAAGTCAAGATATTTGCCATTGAAGGAGGTGGGGGCCGCCTCATTTCAGATGTAATATTAGCGAGAAAATGGCCGCCAAAGTTTGATTATTTCTATAGCTTGAGTCCTTGAAAACTGAAAATGTACATATATACAAATATTTTATGCCATTGATCAACATTTTTAATTAAAAGGCTAATGGAAGCGTGTTTTTACATAATATGGAAATAAAAGGTGTTGAGCCAAAAAGATAAACTTTACTAAAATTGCCAAACTGGAGAAAAAATCTGTGTTTTTCTTCAACTTTATTATTTTGACGAGCGCAAGATTTCACCATGAAGCCTCACAAAACTAGTCTAATATTTTGTTTGAGAAACAGGGTCAAGTGATTACCAGAAATAACAAGCTCAGATTCCCTATGAAATCCTGTTGTTGTCTAATAAAAAGAAAGCGTTAGACCCTGGTTTGCGGCCTCTATGTGATTCTTCCAAACCAAGGACAGGCAGAGATTTCACTACTTAACTATAACTATGTAGGAAATCCGAAAGAAACAAATGGGTTGAGTCACCGTTGAGAGCCTTGAAAACTGTACAAACCAACCGTAGTTCAAGAATGCCCAGTCTGGGATTTGAACCAAGGCCATCCGCTGCATAGACCAGCATCATATCAACCTATCTAATGGAGTGCCCGCAGACATGGGCAACATTGAAAGACTTGCAAGACAAACAGAAGAAAGGAAACAGAAGGATTTAATATTATACTAGTAGCTCTGAGTGGGAACAGGCAAGGTACGCAACATGCACCCATTTAGGGCGAGGGCCAAAACCCAAGTCATCATTCTGTCACTGACACCGCAGTACACTTTCAACAAAATTATTTGTTTATAAAATATTAAGTTTAGTTTTAGTAAAATTTCATGGCATTTGCAACCCAAATAGGACATTTGAGCACTGAATACACCTATCCGTTTGCCCACTCCCACTACACATAGCAATAATATATACAGACAATCACGCATGATTGAAGCACTTTGGCAACAGAACTACAATTCGGATGTAATCAATCACTCTGAAGCCTTTGTTGACTTTGACAGAAATTGGAAACCAATCCACTATCCGTGTAGTCCCAAATAGTTTTCCAACGAAGAATGGAGAGGTTCCACATAAAATGTTCCTGGCAAGATCGAGACCTATTGCTATTGTCAGAAAGAAGACACTACTATTCAGGGCCGAGAATAGCATACCAAAAAAAGTAAAAAGGCTGAAAACTAGGGGAGTGTGGGGGCATGTGCCCCCGGAAAATTTGGAAAAAAAGAGGCATAAAATAGCTAAATCTGGTTACTATGGAAGGGTTTGAGGTCTTATTTGTTACCCTAATTTTAGAGAAAAATAATAACTAGATCTTTGCCATGCTGAAGCACAAGCAGACAAGACCAAAAAAAAAAAAAAGGCTACAGGGTTGTGATATGCATGGGCCAAAGTCACCACAGTTCTCCACGTAACTATGTACAGGTGCTCGATTGTCACAACTGAACGCTATTCCTACCAGTAATGAAGAAGAATAAAATCTAAAAAGTACTTGATTGAATGGTATCGGCCAACACACGGACAGTTAAAAATCTTCTAAAATTATTATCATCGTTCTTTGCTCAAGTTGCTTTTGTATTCTTATTATTACAATATTATTATAATACGAAACTCGTAAAAAAGGCAGAAGAGGCGTTCGGATGAGCAAACGGCGGCGTTGCAATGAGCGGAATTCCGCCTTTAGGCGCACAATTCTCAGCCCTGACTGTTACAGTGATCCCATGATTAAAGACAAAAAAACCAAACCAAACACCCCCCCCCCTTCCCCAAAGACAAAAAAAAACAACAAAACAACAACCCCGAAAGGCGAAAGCACTTCAATTCTGTATAAAAAGGATTTTAAAGTAATATTGGCTCCTTGACAAAATCATAACAGGAAAATGAAACAAACTACAGTGGAGTGTGCCGAGACCGAAATCTGCACGACCATCAGATTGTCTTTGCTTCAGTTTTCATTGAAGGGGGATTGCTAAAAAAAATAATAAATTGGCTTTCGGTTTATCACTGTTTAAAGATTTACTGTGTTCGGTTTAAGCAGACTCCACTTTACTTCTAAGGATAAGGATTAGGGGCTCTCCTGGCCTAGAGTCTAGGTAAAGTTGTTCGCCTCTCATTCAAAGGTCCCCGGTTCGAATCCCGGTAGTGAAGGAAACATTCTCTTCTCTAAAACTGTCTCCTTTCACCTCTTTTCCTCCTTTCTGTCGTCTGCTTTTGTCTCCATTTTCTACCCCCATCCTCTCACCTCCTTTGTCCCCACTTTCTACCCCCATCCTCTCACCTCCTTTGCCCCCTCTTCTGGGCTCCTGACTCTTTCTACAGCCTTTCTGCTGCTACTCCTTGGCTCCTTACTTAGCTGTCTTTTGGCCACACCCTCATCTTTCAGTAGGAAAGATCTACACAGCCTTCTCGGACAAGGGCGAAAAATCTCGGAGGTCCCATGTGCAAGTTGCACGCTTTAAAAAGATCCCTTGGTGGTCTAAAATCGATAATAGTAGGCTTCGACCGCCACCCAGGCAAAACTCAAAATTTCCTACCAACTGAAAATGTTTAATGGGTCCAGCGCCCATATATGACCTTATGCCTTATGCAGAGTTGCGATAGTGATGTAGGAGGTGATGAAGTTAGACCTGAGTCGGACAGCAGCGACAGCGATGAGAATGAAGATTCGAAAAGAGGGGCGTGTGTGTAGCGTTTTTTTCTCTTTTTTTCATTGTGAGTGATTTCACCAAAAGTTCGACAACTTTGTATATATATACTTGACCATTGTGCATGAAACTTGGCCCAGTTAGAGACAATTGAATATACTTCAGTATGACCAAGTCATGAAGTGATTGGATTTAGCAACTAGATCTATACACTGTGAGAAATGTAAGTTGAAAAATATTTTTTTTTTTTTTTTTTTTTTTTCACATTGTCTTCACTTACCTCCCATGTTTGTTTGGATTTATGATTTTTTTCAATTTTTTAATTAGATTAAAAATATTCTACATTCAATTTCCTTCATTTTGGTATGTAACATGTCTGACTTCCAGATGGAATTATGCCCATCAACACAAAAGAAGAACAGGGGTACTTCTGAAATTCTAAGACTAAGAAATGCCTTGGTCACAGCACGGAAAATGCCTTGGTAGTCAAAGAGTTAATGTGGCGTTAATTGCAACAGAGTGAGTCTGCGACAAAAAAAGAAGTTAAAAAGAAAAACAAGAAAAACACAAACACAATGCACACACCTTCTCTAACACTAACATAAATCTACACACAGACACACACAATACAAACAGCACACGCTTTGGCCTAATAGGCGCGCACGCACACACACACACCAAACTAACAAAGAGAGTTGCAAATCTTTTCTTCTTCTTGTTGCCCGGAGTGGTTTTTGTTGCTGCTATTGTTTTGTTGTATATGATATATATTTGTTGCCTCAATATTTGGGTTGTTCATAAAAGTGTACAGATAAAGTCAAAAGTTCGCCTTCCCAACTGTTTCAGATGATTTCTTCCTAAAGGCAACAAAATGTTCAAATCTTTAAATCTAGCAGAAGCTTTGTCAAAATCGTCGAAGTGAAGCGGTCCGAAATGGTAGATATATCTAGATCTAGATCTAGAATGTTAGAATCTAATTATCAACGTACTACGGGTTCACATTCACTCTGTCGCAATCAACGCAGCGTTAGTAGTCACAGCGTCGCTCTGTAGATGGGGGGGTTCTTGAAGCCTACTTTTTGGCTCAGCATTATTCATGTCCAAGTTGGCCTCCTTATTATCTTTCTTGCAACCCCATGTTGGCATGTTGTCCTCTCCTCCATACAAATGCAAAAAACTTAGTTTATCTACAACAAGCACCATTCCACACCATTTATTACGACTGTATGTGATGACCCACTTTTATTGACCTGATGGTGATAAAGAAATCAAAGAAATTGCTGCATCAGAAGTTGAGAAGTAGTCTAAACAAAACGCTGGGGTTAACATTGTTTTAAAAAGTCCTTCCCATGACTAAAGAATCCAAACTGATAGATCTCTAGATCTAGAATCTATATCTAGATTCTAGATTTCTAGATCTAATCTAGATTCTAGATCTAGATCTAGATAGATCTAGATTAGATCTAGAATCTAGTCTAGAATTCTAGAACCATGTTTCGGCCTAGTTCTCCGGAATCAAGATCTAGACTCGAGTAAGGTCCAGACTGTACTGTAGAAGATGTCTTGAGACTAGGCTAGGCCGAACTCCTGATTCTTGATCTGAGGACTACTGTAGGCTATTGAACTTCAAAGATTCAGTGCAACAAAAACTAGGCTAGGCACTGCTTTTCATTGTTTTCGACCCAATTAAATCATGCATCAAGTATAAAGTATAGAGCCAATAATTGCATAACTAGACACTTTTTTTTTCCAAATGGAAAATCCAAGTGATAAAACAAATTATAACGCGGTTCAATGGTCAACTCACCCGAAATCATCGTCCATAGACTTGAAGAAAAACTTGAAGTTTGGCCGGTTCAAGGCATTCTTGAAATCTCCAAGAGTAACACGATCCGCCGGTATTGGAAGCTTAATTAAATAAGGAGTGTCTTCATCATCAATGTGGTAGATAATCTTTGTTTCCCCCATCCCGGAGGAGGCAAAGATATCAAAGAATTGAAACAATAACACTGATTTGACGAGCAAAATGGCTACCAAATATTTTTTTCAGTGTCGGGCTCAAGAGCTACACCCCCGAAAACGAGGCTCGAAGGGAGAGAACTACCATGGCAAAATGACAACCAGGGGAGCGTACAAATAGATATCTTTAAAATCTTAAGCTAACAAGGCCTATGTCCCCTGTTTAACCACGTTTTTGATTTGGTACAACTGCAACGGTCACTACAATTCGCAAAAATAGGGCAGAATAAAAACATATTCGAAACATTGAGATGCTCATATACATATATGCGAGGGTGTGTGTGATGACTTGGACAATGGCTTTTGTGAAAAACGTTTTGTAAAATGTGTTCTTAAGGATGGTGTTTCATTACTCATTGGACTGATTTATATAAGTCAACACAGCCCTACAGCTGAGGAGGATGTACGGAAGCTGAACAAACTCTTTGAACTGGTGTTACTGAGAAAAGAGACTCACAAAATCATAATGGGTGACTTTAATTTCAGACAAATTGATTGGGAAACTGAAACTAGCAACGCTGATGAAAAACACATTGCTACTAAATTCCTCAAGGCTAGAAAAGACGCATTCTTCATACAGCACCAAAAGACTCCCACAAGATATAGAAGAGGTGATACTCCTAACATTCTAGATCTAGTCTTTACAAATACTGAACAGCTGGTTACAGACATCAAAGTCGATGATAGGTGAAAGTGATCATCTTTGTCTGCTTGTGACTCTGTCATTATCAGCAGGTACCGCACCCAAAGTAACTAGGAGAAACTTTAGAAAAACAGATGTTGAGAAACTGAGGGAGGACCTACGAGCATATGACTGGGAGAGTGAGCTTGCGAACAAGAACGTTGAAGACACTTGGTCTGTCATCAAGAGCAAAATTGAGGGTGCCATTGGGGCTTCAACACCGCTGATGAATATTTCAGGGAGGAAAAATAAAAGATACCTGGATAAAGACACATTAGAGGCAGTGAGGAAGAAACATCGTGCTTACAGAAAATGGCATAGGACGGGAAAGACAACGGATGAAATAACATACAACAAGGCCAACAACAAGGCTAGGAAAGCATGTCGGAAGGCAAACAGGAATTATGAAAAGAAATTGGCTATTGAGGCAAAGAAGAACCCCAAGGTATTTTACACTTATGCCAACTCAAAGATTAAGAGTAAGATCGGTATCGCAGACCTAAACAAGGACGATGGGACAAAGACAAAATCAGATACAGAGAAAGCAGAACTACTAAATAAAAAATGTTCTGAGTATTTTTACGAACGAGGACACAGGACCACTCCTAGACTTTGAAGAGTATGACTACAACACAGAACTTCAAGACTTCAATATTGAAACGGTGACAGTAAAAGAACTTTTGATTAGTCTTGATGTCAACAAGGCAACGGGACCAGATGGTATCTCTCCCAGAGTATTATCCCAGGCAGCTGACATACTTGCACTACCTCTAAGAATTCTCTTTAGGAGGACACTAAATGATGGAGTATTACCAGTGGAATGGAAAACGGTATTTGTGTCACCAATATTCAAGAAAGGTAACAAGGCGGCAGTTAACAATTATCGACCTGTGAGCCTAACATGTGTTATCTGCAAAGTTATGGAAAAGCTCGTAAGAGAGCACATAATGAACCATATTGCACACAACATGCTGATTTCTAAAGACCAACACGGATTCGTCACTGGACGTTCATGTATAACACAATTATTGGAAGCTTTAGATGACTGGACGAGTATTATGGATGAAGGAGGGTCAATGGGTGTCATTTATGTGGACTTCTTGACTAGCAGAAAACAACGAGTTGTTATAAATGGATCACGGTCGTAGGAAGCTGAAGTTACAAGTGGAATCCCGCAAGGATCAGTTCTTGGCCCCCTTTTATTTGTAATTTACGTCAACGATCTTCCCAGAGGACTTACAACGACGGCCAAAATGTTCGCTGATGACACAAAGCTCTTCGTTCGAAGTGACACCTTGAATGGACCGCAAGATTTACAAGACGATTTGGATACCCTCCAAGAATGGTCTCAACGATGGTCACTTCGTTTTCACCCCCAAAAGTGTTGTGTCCTAAAAGTTGGCAAAGACAAAGATAACGAATACTTTATGGACCAAGCAGTGGATGGTAGCACCCCAAGACACAAACTGAATGCAACAAAGAGAGAAAAAGACTTAGGAGTTGTTGTCGATAATAAACTAACCTTCAAGGAGCACGTGGCCCAGATGACATCAAAAGCGAACCGTATTGTTGGACTTATTAGGCGATCATTTGATTACCCTTCAGAGGATATGTTTGTTTCGCTGTACAAAAGTTTGGTGAGGCCTTTATTGGAGTATGCACACTGTCTCGTATTTGGCAACCCTTTGAAAAGGACTATGTAGTGAAATTGAACAGGTTCAAAGGCGGGCTACCAAAATGCTGAGTCACCTCAAAGAAAAGCCTTATTCTGAAAGACTGAAAAAACTAAAGCTTACATCCCTGGAACATCGTAGGTTACGTGGTGATATGATAGAAACGTACAAGTATATCAAAGGCTACTACATCACTGAAAGACCAGCGTTTACAAAGGCAACAACCACACAACTCCGTGGCAACTCAGAGAAGCCCCAGAAGCAATTAAGAAGCAGATTGTGTGTGAGGGCAAACTTTCTTGAGAATAGGGTTAATACTATTTGGAACAATCTTCCCGAATCAGTGGTGTCAGCTCCAAACGTGGACACATTTAAGAGACGTCTGGACGAATATTGGAAAGATCTCCCAACTATTTACAACCCCACCTGCCAAAACTGATTTGTCTAGCCTGCACGCCATGCATTATTGTCGTTCATTACCAGATAGTTGAATAGGCTCTACTTAGAGCCTCAAACAACTAAATCGTCAATGTCAATGTCAATATAACACAGTACAGAAACATGTTACGAATTTTGCTTTAAAAGACCCAACAATTTCCTTTTTTTTAGCCTTGAAATCAATTTAAAAAAGAAAATTGGGAGGTGTTGATTGAGACTCGCAAGTTGAACTGCTGGTAGTTTTCTGATGGGTGTTGGAAGCAGGTGCAATGTCGTCTATAGAAGTCTACAGTTTGTACTTCTCAGACGGGATTTTATTGGTATAGCTTTCTTTTATAAAGCTTGAAACCAGTCGATCGGAAATTCCAAAATGCTTGTGTACGTCCACACAAATAATAAAATTGATATATTGAAGCTTCACTTAAAAGTCTGATTCAGTTTTACTCAAGGAGTTTACAGTTCTAAGCACCTTGGTTTTTACTGTAAATACATTTTTACAAAAAGAGAAAGAACAGAAAAAAGATAGAGCAAATAAACCTAAAAGCACCCCCCCCCCCCACCCATAGAGAAGAATATCATTAACTTTTTACTTCACTTTACTTTTTCCTTTTTCCTTCCCCTGGTATCCTTAGGATGCCGAGGGGAGGTGCAAGTTTCGCTCCTATGTTAGGTGTGTAGCGTCCGCAAGGAGGTTAAAAGTACAGTGTAATAGATTTCTAGATAAGTTATAATGTTGTTTCAGGACCTTTTTAACCCCATCCAGCCAGGTCTAGTTTCTTTCTTTATTTGAAGCTCGGATGTTGTACGCTCAATGACCGCTAGTTGTTTCTGAGGCATTCTAGTTAGATGTTCAAACCATTTGACTCTTTGACACTCTTTAAATCTTATTACTGGTGGTATTCCAGTTTGTAGACGTATGGTTTCGTTTCTTATGCGGTCTCCTCTGTCGACGTATTGATGGTTTTTGCCGAGACACCAAGCTCATTTCGCATGCATTGATTTTTTTTTCTTGTGGCTCGTTTAAAGACAATGCTTGGCACTGGTATGTTAATGTTGATATGAAAATGCTATTGGTGAGCTGGGATTTCACTTCGGAAGAGATGTTCTTGTGACTGAGCCGGGGTGCTAGTTGGTAGGTCACTACATTTGCCTTCAAATAGTTCTTGTTTTTATTTCTTTGTCTTTTTTATCCGCTCTTCTTATTTCCTGTCTCCAGCAACACTCAAAAAGTTAACTTTTGCTAAGTGTGTTTATCATTTTTAAAATTTATTTATTTTTTAGTTGAGAATGTAGTTTTTTCTTTATGTACATAATTTAAAACTATCTGAGTAATATTAAAACGAATGCAATTTGATACCTTAATGGTGGAAAATAAGCAAAACTCTTTTGTGTTAGGAATTCAGTTTGGCATTGTGTACTTCCGTTTGTGAAAGCAACGTCAGTCTTCGAACAGCTGTATCAAAACTTGTCTTTTACGTTTGTACGAGGCGATACTCCAAAATCAAAGATGAATTATATTGAGTCACTCCTACCGGAATCAATAAAAAGCATTCCTACTCACATGGTAAGTTATACCAGGTTCTGATTTTCTCTTAGAAATCAGGCGTTGCCGGTAACGTGCCATCATATGTCAAGTGTAGGCAAGGCAGGTTGAGGTGGGCTGAGGCTGAGTGTTGACAGTGTTGTCTGCATTGTGTTTGTTGATGAGGTGATTGATCGTTCAGTGAAACTGACATGCAACTACATGTAGGGCGTAAACCGGGCTACGATTGGCTGAACTTGTGGGTACTCTGGGAATTCCCGGTTTCGATCTAGGCCGCCTTTGGCCTCTGGCGAGTCTTTTGTTGGCTATTCTCACCCGGTGTGCATTCACCGCTATGCTATAGCCTAGATCTAGGCCTACCAATTTTGTGTTCACCCTGAACCACAGAATTCTACACTGTGATAGCAGAAAAATTGTAGAATTCTGTGCCAAACGTTCCTTTACTACTGTTAGCCTAAAAGCGTACAATTTTGTCTGTGGGCAGTGGAGTGAGAGAGAGAAAGAGAGAGAAAGAGGAGTAGCGTGAGAACTTCCGGGCAAAACAAAATGGCGACCCGCGTAGTTCGGCTCGATTCGAAAAGTGAAATAGCCATAGCATCTTTGTAGACGATCAAATTAGCTTACTTAAATTGTGCCATAACGTAATTTTTTCTTTGCTTTTATCCATTTGATCATCCTCACCGATAGAAAGTATTCCGAAATTAGGAAAAACAGGTCTTGTTTCACACCGGGTGAGAATAGCCAACGGTGGCAAGTCTCACCCGGGGTGAGAGGTCGATGGTATTTTTATTCTCACCCCGGGTGAGGATAGCCACTTCCTTTAATCTCGCGCCTTTGACCGTCTTCTCACAGCGGGTTGAGTGCTCATGAAAGAAGAAGGAGGAGGAGGATCCCAGATGTAGATGGAGGAGAAGTTTGAAAAAGAAGAAGAATGAGGAGGGAGGGAGGAGAAGAAGAGGAAGCAGGGGGATGAGGAGGAGCAGGAGAACTAGAGAAGGAGGAGGACAAGAAGAAGATGAAGAAATAGAAGGAGAAGAAAAAGAACAATCTTGTAATTTACATGTTACAAATTGGGGACTTTTTCATTTTTTACCTTAGAATTACCATGGGAAAGAAGGAGAGAGAGAGAGATAGGGTGGTGAGAGTGACAGGGAGGGTGTCGTGTCGTTGAGAACGCCAAGAGTTGACTACCGTAGGATTCATGGGTCACAGAGGTTCAGCCAATCGTAGCCCGGTTTATGTCCTGCGTGTAGTCGCAAATGTGAAACTGGGATATAAAACGAAGTTGTTTGGCGTGATCTTTTATTTTGTTTGAGGGACTTCCATAACGAACAACCGCCCCAACACAATGAAGATTTACCAAAATATCCGGGAGGACTTCCATAGACATGTGACTACACGCAGGGCGTAAACCAGGCTACGATTGGCTGATCCTGTAACCCATGAATGCATTAAGTAGGCCTATGGTAGCTCTCAACGACACCCTCCCTGTCACTCTCACCACCCTCTCTCTCCCTCTCCCTCTCTTCCTCTTTCCCTAGGTAGGGTAACGAATGAAAAAGTCACCAATTTGTAACCTCATTAAGATTCTTCTTCTTCTCCTTCTTCTATTTTTTCATCTTCTCCTTGTTCTCCTCCTCATCCTCCTCCGCCTCTAATCTGCTCCCCCTC